GCGAATTCTGAGATGGATCAGCAGATAGGATAGGGTTAAGCCACTCAGAGAGTCTAGATCTGAATATGATTCAGATCTAGAAACCTCCTAATGAGATTAGGAGAAGGCTGATCTAATCTGCAGATAAGATAAGGGTTTATCCTTATCATCGAAAAGGATGTCTGATCCAAATATGATTTGGATCAGCAGCTCCTAATTGGATTAGGAGCTGATCTTTTAGGATTACAAAAGGAGGGGGTGGCAGCCTTTAGAGACGGATACTCACATTCTCTTCAGAGCTGAAATCCCTGAAGAAAGATTTCTGCAATCCCTGTGAAAATCTTTCTTGCCGCCTCCTCCCTGCAGCCGCCAGACATCCAGTTCGATCTCCAACTCTGTGGGAGAAAGCAAGATTCGATCTTGTCATTAGTTCTTTGTGAAAGAATTGATTGGAAAAGTAGGATTCTTTTGAGCAGTAATGATAATAATACATTGATAAAGAAACAAAAAGCTATTGTAGGGAAGGGATGGGATGGACGTCTAAACAAAAGCAATTTCACACTGTTGTACAAAAATTACAGCATATACAAAAGCTCTATGGAAATGAAGATCCAACGTATATTTCCACCTTGTCAACCCCAACCTATATCTCACCCACTGCAATCCCATTTGATCCCCCATAAATACATGTTGAAGAATGGGTGCAGAAGCTAATGTGGTCACATATAATTTAGCATAAAAGACAATCTCCACAGACCTCTTACAAATCCCTTGCTCCATCTAATAGTGTTTGCTGAGTCACCTGATGTAAAGTTATCTAGTTTTCCCGTCCCCACTAAATAAGCAAAGCTATTAACAAAAGCAAGCAGCTATTCATCAGAAGTCAATTTTCCATCAGACTTGTACTTTCTGTAATCAGTAAAGTAGTCGATCTAGACTACAATCAGTCTTGAATTAAAAAGAAAAAAGGATGAAAAATTGAAGAGAAGAAGAAGAGAAGAGAGGAAGAAAAGAAGTACACGAAGAGAGTTTCAGAGCTTAAAACAAATCTCTGTACAGATCTCTAGGATTTCAATAACAGAAGAATAATTTTTTGAACAGGTAGGAACAAGTAAGGCAGAGCAAACAAAACTATCTATACTGTATCCTGGAATCCTCTACAACTAAAACCAAATATAAGAGGCCAGGGAAGAGAAAGAAATGAAAAGTGTATACCCTCTACAATTAAGAGGAAGAAATAAAAACTGTTTTTGACAAATAGATAATCAGAAATCAAATTTAAAGCAAAATTAACCAGAATTTACACTCGGAATATTTGAATTCTCATTCATGTACACTAGTGGAAATCATTACCCAAAATAGTTATGATTAAAATGCCAAAACCCACACCTAGTCAGCTAGTACCAAATAAGGTTCAAAATATCGATACAGGGCAATACGCCGGTAGGGCGTATCGTCCTGTGTCGGTATTGTTTTTTTTTTTTTCGAATCTGGTTCAGAGGGGCCGGTCTACCCCCTGAACCACTTGCCAACCCGAAACACCCCCTGTGGGGGCATATCGGGAAGGCTCCGATACGATACATATTGGTCGATACGGGCCGATACGTGACAAAATTTTGAACCTTGGTACCAATTATTGGCAAATACATCAGCCAACTCCCTATATGGACAACTAGTTGCTAATATTTTCATTTTTTTATCTTTAAAAGAAAAAAAAAGCTCGGGGATGGTTACAGGAAGAGGAAATCCACTATCTTATTGGATTGTTCAACCTGGACTGGATTGGACTGGTCCAATCCACTGTCTTATTGGACTGTTTAACATGTTCATCCACTGTCTTATTGGACTGTCCAACCTGGACTGGATTGGACTGGTCCAATTCACTGTCTTATTGGACTGTTCAACCTGGACCGGATTGGACTGGTCCAATCCACTGTCTTATTGGACTGTCCAACTTGGACTGGATTGGACCACTGTTTTATTGGACTGTTCAACCTGGACTGGATTGGACTGCTCCAATCCAATCTAATGTCTTATTGGACTGTTCAACTTGGACTGGATTGGACTGTTCAACCTGGACCAGATTGGACTAGTCCAATCCAATCCATTGACTTATTGGACTGTTCAACATGTTCAACCTGGACCGGATTGGACTGGTCCAATCCAATCCACTGTCCTATTGGACTGTCCAACTTGTTCAATTTGTCTTTAATTCAGATTGTCTCCAACCCAAACCTGGTCCATTGATATATTGGTTCAACGCAACCCAGTCCAATATAAACCATTATAAATGGACTAGGTCTAGTCCAATCCAAAAACAAAGGAAAACAAACAGAATTTCCTAGCAAACCAAAACACAAATGTGCATCACCACATTCAACAAGAACCACTAGAAAATATCACAAACATCATCTGCCCCCATCAAATTCTCTAAGTCATCTGGCTGGACTCTCTTACACTTTCATATTTTTGCAACTTTCCAAATATCTCCAACACAAAATTGATGCAAGTATTTGCAACTTAACAAGAAAATATTATGCAATTATTTTATGTCAGGATTAGAACAATGTCTAAACTAAATTTGAAAAGAAGAATAAACAAATAAAACACAAAGCATAACGGGGCAGCTATTGTGCAAAAGATACATATCTTAAACAATACATACCTTTATTGAAAATGATTCGGTCTTCTGTGAGGATTGGATTACATATGAAACTGAAGCAATAAGTCCATCAACTCGAATCCTCCCAGATTTTACAGGATCTACCTATAGAAAACAGAGCATTCAAAAACTAGATTTGGTTCCATTGAAACCTGTTCAAGCTTTAAACAGTTTAGGAACTAAAGCTGAAACTAAAACCAAAAATAAAACAAAAACTAGAGTGTTTGGAATGACAGAGGAGAGAGGAAATACCTGAATGAGCAAGGAGTCTACCGCTGGATATATATATATATAGAGAGAGAGGTGAGATAGATAATCACAGGAGAGACTGGGGAGTGCCGCTGGTCGTCGGATAACACTAGAATGATGGAACGAAGACCACCGTCACTATTCGCTAGAGAGAGAGAGAGGGAGAGATGAGAGAAAATAGCCAAGTATAAATCACTGGCGAGAGGAGAATGTCATGGAAGTACCATTGAATTCGAGGAATACCGCTGGAGAGAAACCTTCTTCAGTTCTTCGTTCAATCGCCAGAGGGAACGGTGGAGGCATGGAGCGCTAGGTCTTCGAACAATTTTTTTGAAGAACTTCAAAGTTCGAACGAAAGGGAACCGAACCTTTTGATTCAGAGGTTTTGTCCAAATTCGGTGTGCATTATATATGGACCACTTAAATTTGGACTGTCCGAGTCCATGAAACTATTTGGACCGTCCGTTTCGTCAATAACACCTTCGGATTGGATGGGGTCCAACCCAAAACCAGTCCATTGTAACACTACCTGGAACTTTGCTCTTATGGAGTCTCCTACTCCTGCTGGGCCCAAGAATAAAGCAATGGCATCAAACGAGGAGTTTTATAAAAGGTGAACGCTATTAAAGCCATTGTTTACTTCGAAAGAACACCAAAGGAGTATATGTTTAGGCCCAAGACAAAATATAGATGTTCGTGGAGAGGTCCATAAAAAATGTATGAAATCTTTTTTTCCAATTAACATTTTGTGTTTTTAACCAACACAAGTAGAGAGACCTACCAATAACATTTGGGACGTAAAAGTACAGAGACAATTCCCCCTCAGTGGATGTTCAAGCCATTACTCCCTTTGTACTATACTATCACAGGTTGTTACTACAACAAGAAATTAAATTTAAATCCAAATACGGGTGGATACTGGAGAACAATGATTGAAAGAAGACTATCAAGAAATAGAACCCGATCAAGGAAGACATGCAAGATGCAATAAATGACAAGGGGCATTTAAACTGCATGGTGCATGGGTATAGGCCATGGCAGGTGGTGTAGGTTTTGCATTTTTCAGGGTGTTTAAAGTCAAGGGGCCAATTAGATTAGCAGGTGATTGGTGCAAATGCATAGATGTATGGAAGAGGATTTTAGTTGTAAGGATTAAACATTGAGGGTATTGTTGTGTACTTGGTGTTTTGCTAGTTGGGCTAATTTGTGTATTGTGTTGCTGGTAATATTTTATCACCTTTTCAGTGTAATTTCCTTTTTTGTAAAAAAGTCTTTATCATCAAAAAAGGACTTCTTTAGAAAGTAAATTCCACATGAATTCCTAGTCTCATAACCAAGCAGCAGATTGTATGCTGCTGTATTGCTCAAAATGCTAGAAGTTTTCAATTAGAAACTAGTTCTTTTGCTGCCTGACATTGGGGGAGCTAGCCAGGACAGTGTTTATGTAATATGATGCTTTAATAGACCTAGCAAAGATAGTTTTTCTTTTCTTTTCTTTTATTTTTTTTTTGGAGGGGGGTGGGTGGGCATTGTCTAAATGAGGGTACTCTTGTCTGCCCTGTTTCATAACTGTTATGAGAAGGAACAGAAATTTAATTTCTTTTAGTGTTTTAGAAGGATATAAATATCTGCTGCCTGCCAGGTAGTGTCAAGAAATTAGACACCACCAAACAGGTCTTACACCTATGACTGTTCCTTCTATTCCCTCTTCTGCTTTATACTCTGAACCAAAATAACAAGGTATCAGAGCAACAGTCAGCAATCTGATCTCTTCCCCTTTCATTCTCTTCCATAAACCTGTACCTTCAGATCTGAAATCTTTGTATTCACAAGAAATCAGATCTGAGAAGTTCAGGAAATATAACAGATTGTGTGGTAACCACATTGTGGTTTGTGTGAAGGTATACACCCTCAAATTGATAATATCATAGAAACACAATGGTGAACAGTAGATACGGTGCTCAAGTCTGAATCCTGTGGTTTGTTCATGATGCTGTGATGAATGGCTGTTCGGTGTGTATGATGCAGTAACATGTGTTTGCTATCTGGTTGAATCCCAAGATCATTTAGTGGTGTAGCACAGTAGCATTGGTGATTAAACTTCTGGTTGTTAGCCTCAAGGATGATTAATGGTCTGCAGTGATAATCAGGCCAGGAAGTTTTATTTTTAAGTGTTGTTGGTAAACTTTTACAGGACAGAGTCCAAGAAAATGCTCAGACTATGACATGTCTATGGAATAGAATAGATCTTAAGATTCACATCAATCCTATGTTCTTAAATGCTATAAAAGACATGGGTACATGTCCAAAGATTATATTCTGGACAAAATATTGTGAGTAGAGTATATCAGTTGTACCAAGATCACTTCCTACTTCAACAAGTTGACAAGAGTATCTCTACAAAACATACACAATAAATTGAATGTACATCAGATCCTTACCACAAACTTGAATGTACGACAACAACATCAGAAAAACATGGATGTTGCTTAATTCTTGTCAGTTCCAAAGGCAGAATATGAACCAAGTCAAGCTTAGATACTTCAAAGTAGTGATCTTCCCTACACAGGTTTGCAGGTTAAGGCAATATATGGGCTGAAGTAGTCTCCTTAGGCTTTTTTTTTTTTTTTTTTTTTTTTTTTTTTTTATAAACAACAGAAATAACAGTTTAAGTTTTTTAAAATATGCGCATGAAGAAGTACACATATACAAGAGCTTTCTGAGAGAGCTTTTACTCTCTCCTCTTTCTCTTACTCTTTCTCTTTGATTACAACTTAGCTAAAACATTTGAGTTCTTCCCACCCCTTGCTAGCTAATTCATCTGCAAAACTATTAGCAGTCCTTTACACCCAATTAGCTCTCACTTCAATGTCTCAGGTTAGTCATTTGAATTTCTTTAAAATCATTTCTGTATTGCCATAAGGTTGTTTTCCTTTGCTGCAASCATCCTGTCACTAATCTTGAATCGCCTTCAACAAGAGGGAAGATTGTGTTAATGGTCTATGTTGATGACATTGTAACTACAAGAACTGATATTCATGGCATGGGTGAGCTTAAGAATTTTCTACAATGATATTTGAAACTAAGTATCTTGAGCAGGTGAAATATTTCTTGGATATTGAAGTGAAGCGGTCAAAACATGGCATTGATGTCTCAAAGAAAGTATCTACTTGACCTACTTGAAGAATCTGGGTCAGGAGCAAGCCTTGTGGAAACACCTATGGATCCTAATACTAGGTTGGATGGTGATAAAAAATAGTTTGTTTGAGGACCCAAGAAGGTATAGGACAATGGTTGGAAATCATTTTTTTAATAAATAACAAGATTTCATTAATATAAACAGAAGAACATGTACGAAACAGCAACTCAAAGAGAGGTAGAATAATTTACCTCTCCATAATACAACTACTCACAAGTGAGCCCAATACAACTGCTCCCTATTGCCCCTTGCTTGGCCAATAAATCAAGCAAATCATTTGCAGCCCTTGGTACTCGATGAGTTCTTATCATCATTTCCCTAGTTAATCATTTAATCTTCTTTATAACTTCTGAGTTTGAGTCCATACCACTTTCTTCTCATCTTTGAGCCAACCACGTGAACCAACCACCACTTGAGAATCCCCTTCAATAATTACCCTGTAAATTCATTTCTTTTACCTTTTCTACTCCATACAAGACAGGAAGAAGTTTGGATCTTGTATAATCCCCTAAACAAACAGGACCCAAGAATAGAGGCTAATATATTACAGTCCTTATCCCTAAAAACCCCTCCCACAACCAAGGGGCCTGGATTACCAAAACTACTCCCATTAAAATTTTACTTTTCCTTGATGATGCAACTACTCCCCCCTGTCATTTCCTTCTCAAATCATTATATAAATAAGTCATATAAATAAGGTCATTTTACCCAATCAATCACTCTTGGCATGATACACTCCGAGATCATTTCCATGCTTCTTTCTTTCCAATTGAAAATTCTTGCATTCCTTTCTTCCTATACTGTCCATAATATAGCAGCCCTATTACATCTCCACTCTATTCTTCCTCTTTTCCTTGGCCATCTGAAAGTTCAAGCATCAAACAAACTAGCCAAGCTTGTAGGCAAGTTCCACCTACACCCAAATAGAAAAAAGAACCATTCCCAAATTAAGGTTGGAAAGCTAAATTATCTTGCCAACACTAGACTTGTCACATTTGTTGCGAGTGTTTTGAGCCAATTCATGTAAAACCCTCAAATTCCTCATTAGGAAGCTGTTATAAAGGTCTTGTTGTGAAGATATATCTTGATGTACATTACTAGTATAGCCTTTGTTGTACAGTATAGTATTCTTATTATTCTATTTGTTCTTTTTATCTTTCAGCCCTATAAGAGCATTCTTGTAACTGTACAAATCTTTTATATCTTTAATATAAAAGAGGCTCTTTGGGGTGGGGGTCGACTATTCTTGACACCCCTAATTCTGTTCTCTCTCTTCTTCTCAGTTCGGTTCACATGGTATCAGAGCAGGTTGCTCATTAATCAATTTCTCTCTGATCCACTTTGTTTTCTTGATCCGTTGAGAACTTGTATCACAGCTGATTGGTTCTGGACTGTCTTGATCTTTCCAGGAACCATTTTTCTGCACTCTGCGCATCTAGCAAGAGAGATTTCATTGGATCTCTCTCGTTTGACATCCGTTTGCAGTAAGATTTGAAAGGAGTTGTCGCCTAGCCCTTCTCAGCATACTCTGAAATTTTCATTGAGATCTGTGAAGTTTTGAGAGAGATCTGTACTTCTCTTCTGGGTGGCTGCGTCCAGAATTTCCTTTTTTGGACTGTGTAATCCAGTTTTCTTCTATTGCTGGATCTTGGACAATCTCTGGTGATAGTAAGGGGTTTCTTTCCTCAGTTTTTGACTCTCTTGGATTTGATTACTGTTTATATCACTTGTTTTGATCAGTTTTTACTTCGGTCTAGTTCTTTTAGACTACTGCCGAACCCCGTTTTTTGCTATTTTCTTGCTGTTATGGCTTCAAACAAAGGGGATATTATTCCTGTGAAGATGAATGGACAGAATTATGGGATGTGGAAGTTCCATTTTGGTTTTTATGTTGAAGGGAAAGGTTTGGAAGGATACCTGAATGGGACTGTCACTAAACCAACTGAGACCGAGGTCAAGGCCTTACAACAATGGAAGCTGGATAACGGCAAACTTGTTTCATGGATTATGAGTTTTATTGATTATCATATTTCTGTACCTATGAGAAGTGAAAACAGCCTATGAGATGTATTCGTATCTAGAGAAAGTTTATTAACAGTTCAGTGTATCTAAACAGTACCAAATAGAATCATAGATATTTGCCTACAGCCAAGGAGATAGAAGGATACAGGAATATTATTCATCCTAGTGGCTCGGTGGGAGTAACAGAGGAGATAGGGGTTGGTGAGGATGTAGAAGGGTCTAAGGAGGAAGGGGAGAGAATATGGGAATTAATAGTGATCCTTTTCGAGCAATTGATAGAGGTGGAAATTCACTCCAAGTTGGGATCAGAAGAGGGGACTGGACTGATTGGGACTACTTCTAA